TGACGAAGAGAGAGGAGAAACTTTTTCTAAAACTTGTGTTTGCCAAAAAAGAAAAAAAGAGGAGATATTTTTTATGGAAGAAGAGGAAGACAAAGAGAGGAAAATTTTGTTCTATACTTGTGTTTGCCAATAAAAAAAAGGTGAAGGATAAAGATGTGAATGAGAATAAGATGTGAAAATAAGTGTAGTTTGTGTTTAACATTGAATATATAGTTGTGACAACCAAGCATAAGAGCCAACAAACACTATACAAATACATTACACAATGTCACGTGAGAGCCAACACTAGTTTCTAAAGCCTTGTGACTTCTTGTGGTAGCTTGTCACTTGCAAAAACCCCAACACTAGTTTCCAAAGCCTTGTGACTTCTTGTGGTAGATTTTGCCGACACATAATTTCTAGCAATTCAAAAAAACCAACAACCAACAGTAGAAACTTAGCCACAAAACATAATTAATGTATGAAATACATCTCATTCTCATCAACTAAATCACAAATCAAAATCCAGCTGTAAGGTTCTAATCAATTAAAATCAATTTCTTGAACACCTGACATGTGATATAGATGAAGTATTCAACTATTCTTACAATTGCAGAAGCCCAAAGCCATGCTTGGAAACTCTGAAACTTCGGCTTGAGATCTAACTCCTTCATCAACGCACCAGCTTCCTTCCACTCAGACTGAGACTTGGCTATGGCTTTCTCTGTAGTCCAAACAGCATCTTCAACCTAATGACATGGATCACAAAATTCTAACTTTAGAATTGAAATCACCAGAGGAAAGAAAGAGAGAAAGAGACTTGGATCTCAATCTAACCTATTCAAAACCAAAATAATAACACAAAAAGTGCAGTTGACACATAACTTGTAATGCTTGCTTCTCGAATTCTCCGAATGTAGCCAAGAGATCATAGTCACGGGGTAAATGCACCAAATATGGATACCAAAAAGAGTCCTTCGCCTTGCTCAATTCATACGATAAGCATACACTCAATATCTGTAAATTTCAAGGATTCTGTTTTTTGAGATTTCCTCATATACAAAAAAAAACAGAACAAATCAAATGGGTCAGAGAAAGAGAAACCTGAGTCGCAGAAAGAGTTTAACCCCATTCCTCAATTTCTCATCTTTAGCGACCATGGATTTTGTAGTTATCAAAGCGTTTCTCGGGACTTTCAAAACCAATTCTCCTTTCCCGAGCTCACGAACAGCACCCTAACCCCTCCTAGTTCCATCAAAATCAATATTGAGGAATGAGAAAGACATAATTTTTTGAAAAGGAAATCGAATTCGTTTCTCTACACTCACCCGCTGCGAGAGGGAAGTCGGCGATGGAAAGGGAATGGCTGAGACACGAATCGTGAGATCGAGAAGAATTAATTGAATCTGAAACGCCAAGCTCTGCTGCCCATCGTAGGAACGTGTCCATGGTTTGGTGTTCTAAGCAATCAGGAGTGCGGAGTGTTTCTCTCCAAATCGAAGACGAAGACGAAGATGATTACTCTTTACTCTCTCTCTTTCGCCATTTTTTAACCCTTCGAATCGCCAAAAAATCGCCATCAGAGATCGATTCCGA